TTTTGGTTACATATTGTAACCCAAGACATTGTTAATGATCCCAAAGGATCTGGACTTTTTTCATCACTGCAATCATTTATTCCTCTGTTTCCCCAAATAGTGATCTAATCAATTAAGGCTAGTAATTTCAGTTTTTTCAACTTCTAATAATCTCTTCCCTCAGAATTATCTTTTCAAGTTCAATGTTTCATGAAGATTTTGTTTTACTGAACATCAGTAAATTGCAGAAGGAAAGGAGTAAACTTTGAAAGAAAGAAAATGACTGAACATCAGTTTAGCCATGAGAAGTTTTATAGTCATCTGTCACATAGGAGGATAACATTGCATTGCATAGTGACCTAATAGCAATATTTGCTATATTAATGATCCAGGAAATAAGAACCAAATTAGGAAGCAATCCTCACCACATGCATCCTTGATTGATCAGCCTTTTCATTATATTATTTCTGTGATGCTTTATGTGCATAACTACATTAAACTTTCACTCACATAACACTACGAATATTTTAAGCTTTACTGTGTGACCACAAAAAAAGATGTGACCATGAAAAGTTGTAGAGCATTTTCGTTTCAAGTTCCTTCTGAAGCTAAGTTCCATTTAAGCTGTATTTTTGTTATTTCTCTTTTAAATAATGCTAAACTGCTGCTAGGTACAATTTGCTCTTTTTGATGCGTTTTTGGATTTATCAGACTAAACTTTCTCTCAGTCATTTTAATTCTTATGAGGAGTGGTAGGTTAATTGCAACTTCTCTTTCAGTTGCTATGTCAAATTGCAAATGTCTAGATCAACTTGTTCAAAGGCAGCTTTTGTGCTTACCTTACATATCATCTGAACAAATTAGAGCTTTGCATGACAGTCTGTACTTTAATGCTAAATAATTTTATATGTATACACATACACACACATATATGTGTACTTACAGAGCAGCTGAGAGTAATTTCGTTTTTTTTCTCGCGTTTTTGGGTAGGGAGGTTGGAGGAGGGAAAGATAGTAGTATAGGGTAACCACCTTCAACAACTTCTCATAGACAGCTTAGCCATCTTGGGGCAGTTTTCACTATACTGTGCAGTTTTCGTTATGGACGTCAGACAGGGAGAATTTCTATGACTGGATTGCCATCTACTTAAAAGAAGGCAGACTTTATTTATTTATTTTCAGAGAAGACATCATATGCACTTTAAAGTATTTAACAATTTTCAATGTGGATAGGCAAAAGTTTTGTTTTTTTTTTTTAGCTCTAAGCTTACTCCTTTTTAGGTTTATTCTATCTCCTCTGCTCACTCCAATGGTAATCCTTTCCCTTAGAAAAATAAAGGTAAGATGTAAACATGAGCCAAGTTTCACTTGATAGAACTTAGCATATTTGCAGTTTTCATCAGTTAAAGGTTTATTTTAAGATAAGTTGTAAAGGTGCTTGTTTGAAGGTAGACAGTAATTTCTTAGGGTCCTATCTACGTTTCATTTTCATAAGCTGCAACTCTCTGGTCAAATGGAGAAAAAACTATGATTATGAGAATATCCTGTTTGTTACCTGGAAGGACACTACTGAGACATTAAAACAATTTCTCACTTGGAAGTACTTCCTTGTGTTTTATGCCCAAAATTATTAAGTTTGGAAAGCGAGAATTTTCAGCTAAGCTTTGCATCTGAAAAACAGTGAGGTACATGTTATGCCGCTTGAAGTCACAGCCTGAATTCACACTGTCGTGAGTCTTGTGTGATTGCTTGGGTTTATGTAAAGGTCAGAGGATATGAAAGCCTAATAGAGTAACTATAGACAGAAGTTTAACTTGCAATGTTTGCACCTAACTTAGGATGCCCATAAGTATGTAAAGACAATGCAAGATAAGTGTTGAACATTTTTTTAGCTCTTTAGGGAAATTTTTAAAATGCTCATTGAGATGCCAGGTTTTCATTCCAATTTCGTACAAGGTTGTTCTGCTTCATAATGGCACAGTAACTGGCTCTCGTCCTCTGCTTTAGTGATCGCTGCATTTTAGCTTTCTATTAGGAAAAATACTGTTTTTCTTACTGAGAATCTGAGTTTTATGTATTTCACATGCTCAGAAATGCTGTTGGATTCTTTTCTCATTTGCTCATCTGTCATTCTGCTCTGTGTTTAGGAGAAAGCAATTCACGGTGTTGCCATGCCCAGAAGTTATCTTGAGCTGACGCTGAATCCTAAAGATAATGAATTAGATTACATAAATGCAACCAATTTTAATTGTGACATAATCCTGAACCCTGATTTATCAACATTTCGAATACTACCCTGGACGGAGCAGACTGCGAGAGTGATATGTGATTCCTTCACTGTGCTGGGCAACCCGCTAATGACCTCACCGAGGCACATTGCCAAGAAACAGCTGAGCCAGCTCCAGGACAATGGCTTTTCTCTGCACTCTGCCTTCACGTATGAATTTTGTATTTATGGCATTACTGAGGTTGTAAATTCGAAGACAATATCCTTCCCTGCAGCCACGATACTAAATAACCATGACCAGACTTTCATTCAGGAGCTCATAGAAGGAATGTATTATGCTGGTGCCAACATTGAAAGCTTTTCTTCTTCCAGTGGGCCTGGGCAAATGGAGATCACTTTTCATCCAGCGTTTGGCATAGATGCTGCTGACAGTGCCTTCACATTTAGAACAGGCATTAAAGAGGTGGCTAAAAAATACAACTATGTGGCTAGTTTTTTCTCAGAATCAGGATTCTACAATTCAGGGGCTCTGTCACACAGCTTGTGGGATTTAAATGGCCAGAAGAATTTGTTTTCTGCTGGTTATGGAGTTGAGGAGCTTTCAGATATTGGAAAAAATTGGTTATCAGGTCTCTTGGCACACACAGCAGCTATCAGCTGCTTGATGGCTCCTACCACCAGCTGCCGTAAGCCTTATTCTAAATACAGTAAAGAGACAAAAGAGACTGTAAATGCAAAATGGGCATATAATGACAACAGCTGTGCCTTTAATGTCAAATGTCATGGTGGAAAAGGCACTCTCATAGAGAATAAATTAAGTTCTGCTACAGCAAACCCCTACCTGGTACTTGCTGCTACTATTGCTGCAGGTCTAGATGGAGTGAAGAGAGGACTTAGGTATGATGATATGATCCAAGAAGAAAGTGACTCTGGTGATCTGAAACATTCATCAGTCCCTCTGAAACTAGAAGATGCTCTTGTGGCACTTGAGAGAGATTCGTGCATTAAGGAAGCATTAGGTGAAACTTTTATCCGGTACTTTGTTGCCATGAAACATTATGAGTTAGAAACTGAAGAAATGGATAGTGAAAGGAATAAATGCCTGGGCTATTTTATTTAGAAAGAGCACTCTTCTGTAGTGATGCTGTGTAAATGCATACAGTGAATGGTTAAGGATCTTGAAATTAATAATATATTATACAAGTTTTTAATGCTTTGGAATTTTTTCCCCTTCTTTGTGTAGTACATGGTTGCAGTTTATTTTCTGTGTACATTCAGGATAGTGAAAAGCTGATATTCATGAAATAACATTAATAAGCTTGTAAAAAACCAGTATTTTTTCAACTTAAGTCAACAGACTTGCTGTTGAAAAAAGAGAACAAAGCTGAAATGCAGAAGAGCAACTGTGCAACTGTAATAAGGTAGTATAAAGAGCACACAAGTAGGAATAATGAGGACAGTACAGTATGGGGAGGGGGGCAGGAAAACAGAGGAAGAAGGGTAATTTCTTGTTCAGCATACTTATGGGATTACTCCCAGCCCATTCAGTAGCTGAAGGGTTGCTAAAGAAGAAGAAAGTAAGTTTGATTTAAAATTTAGGCTAGAATGATTAACATTGTAGAGAGGGGGGGCAAAAGACTAAGGCTGTAGAAGAATAGGATCAGGAATCAGTATCTTAATAGGCATAGACAGTAAGAGAGAAGGGATTGTAAAATAATCTGTACATCAGGAATTCTGCTGCTGAATGAAGACTGCAAGAATTGTAGTAGATAAATATACTAAAAGAAATCACATGGTGACTTGAAGAGCAAATGACTCATAGAAAACCAGGAGTGTCAGGACAATGTGTATAAAAAAAAAGGAGCTGGTATTGTGTCTGTTTTGATAGTTAATGGGCTAATGGGTTAAATGTTCTATTATTCTATGGTTCTAATTCAGAATTGAATGGCAAATGAGGAGAAAAAAGGCAAAAAAGCCAGAGAATTGAGAGGTTAAACTGGACTTTATTGGGAAACCTGATGTTATCAAGGGTGAGGAAGATGACTCTGAAGAGAGGAACACAAAAACTAGGTTAAAGTGTGAAAGACTGAAGATATGAATTCAAAAACTGGCAAATAGTGGTTAAAACAGAAGAAAAGAAGACATCTCCTAAAATTAGAAATGGCAGAATGTAAAGAAAAATAAAGCTTGTGGAAGGGCAGGAAGTGGGTTTTACATTTGCTCTCTGTTTTTGTTACTGTTAATGGTGTTATCCTTTATTATTAATGACAACCCTTGTTTCATACCCCACATCCACATTAACAGCAATTTTTGATATTCTTTAACTTGTCACAACACTTTGATCTATGTGTAGAAATTTGTGAGAGAAAATGTTTAGTCATTACTGGAGTGAAAACAAGATTCAGTCAATGCCTCTGTCAACATGCAGAACTAGGACATGTAGATATAAATGTGCTGATTGCCTTCTGATGGATCTTCTACGCTTCCCCTACAGAGTATTGTACTGGAAATGTAGCCCTTGGTATGCTAAACCTTTTTGTTTCCAAAGAAGAATTCACTTTATACTCAGGTAGCAAGAGGAAATAAATAATCTAAGGAAATATAAGCGTGTTCCTTTGTCTCAGTGTGTGGCTGGTGTATGGATTTATTTATCTCCCTTACTCATCTCACGTATTTTTTAGGGTGCCCCAGATCATGGGACTATTTTTCTTTGCTCCACGCTCATTTGCATTGGTCAGGTCTAGCCTTGCATTTAAGCAGAACTCCTCCTTCTGAAAAAATGCTTCTTGCTGCCCTAACACTTCTTTAGGAACTCTGGAAATCTGTCTGTCTTCAGACCTGTCTTCTGTTCTCTCTTTCTGGTTATTTCCCACTCTCATCTTCACAAGCTATTGGATGAAGACATCTATAGAAACTCTTTCCTTGCTCATAAAGCTTACTTACAATATTCCTTACTTAGTCCTAACAGTAATACTGGTTAATAGCTCTTCCTTGGTTCTTCAACTGGCAGTGACGTAGTAAAGTACAACGCTGCATATTAAGTGTATTAATGTGATGGGATTTCTGTATGGTAATAAATACATCGGCTAAGCAATGCTGTACCAGAAAAGGATATGGAAGATGTCTTAAGCTCCTGCAGGCATAAAGATCTTAATTCTGAAGTTCATCTAAAAGTTTATCTTTAAAAAGAAACACATTCTCATAGCAGAGTTTCCAAAATCCAGTTTCAGATCTGTGTCTGCTTTTTACAAATTATTCTTAAAAAATAAAGCATAGTAAAAACCCCCTCAAAAATCCCAAATATAAGTGAACTCAGACTTCTCGATGAAATACCTTGTAAAGTTGAGTTACATTGCTCTATTAGTTCTTTCGGGACTTGGAAAGCTATTCTGGCATAACACTGACCACACTTCTAAGCTGAAATCTCAGAAGGTATTTGGGTTCACGTACTCTGGACCTGAATATAAAAATGGCAAAATGAGTGAAAGAATCAGATAAAAATGCATATTTTTCTCTTTATTATATATATTAGTAGGATGTCATGCTACTTACTATGCCAATTTTCAAACATTTTCGTGTGGGTTTATAAGACATTGGTTTGTCTTGGCTTTTTGATTATCTGTCACTGTATAGAATTTAAAGAGATAATTTGTAATGAGCTTCTATAACTGAATTTAAAGGACATGAAGTTCGTTGTATATTCTATATGTATTATCCATACCATTTCCTTATCACAGCATTGAAAACACCAGAGCTAAACCCTTTGCCATGTGTGTACACCTATCAGATTAAATTCAGTTATAGAAGCTCATTATTTAAAAACAAAAAAACCAACTGACTAGAACTGATGTTCTACAGGATATTTCATAGCAAAATCAGATTGCTAAGTTAAATTTACATATATATTTTAAGTAGTATTCATAGGCTCTGAAAAGATAGAGACTATTTGATTAAATGCAAACATTTAGTGTTTCTGGCAAATGAACGCCTTTCATTCTTTATTTTTTTAAATAGAAAGTTCATAAATGCAACTTCAAGCTAGTATGTCTTAAATTTTGGACAATATTTTGTTCAATACTCTTTCCTAAATATGTTTTATATAATAAAAGCAAAATAACTCCAGCTCTGTGGGAAAGCACAAAATAATTTTCAAAATAAGCAGTTATGAATTTTTAAAGTGGTGTGCACCCCAAACAAATTTGCACATGTTCTTTAGAAAGACAACAAAAAAAGATTACTACTTCATAATGCTTTATTGAAATGAATTATTATTGACTGCTGTATTGCTAACATCTCATCTTGAAGTGGTGTCTGAAAATACTCTTAACGGTTCTACAGGAGCAAGATCAATGTCTTTAGCATCACTAGGGAGATAATTTAAAGTTTTGCAGTGTTATAGATTAAAAAAATTACTAAAAAAAGGCATGTGAAATCTTTAGTTTTACATAAAGTCCTGCTAATTTTTCAGGATACTACAATCAGAGCATCTTCTAATCTTTTGAGGTCTAAGCAGACTATATATTTATTTCTTGGTTGACAAAGTGGTGTTACTTTTGGCATTGCGCTATGTCATGACTGCTTCTTCTAAATGTTTGGCCATGCCAGGAGTTGGATCTGTAACATACAAGGAGCATTGCTGTAAACTCCTAAGCCTTTTAACATATCGAAGGTGTTCTTTGCAATGCCACTATGGTAAAGGTATTATGGCAGTCTGCAATTCAGTATACACAGTTGCTAGGCTAGGTAATCTTTCTGATCAATACCATTAATAATCATTAAATAAATATTCCCTCAAAATAGTGAAAAGAGTTACCTATTTTTTACAAGAGAATTTAGAAAACTTTTTACAGTTAACAGCTAGGGTATATAGCAAACATCATGAGATTTCCAAGTACAATTTCGGTGAAATGAAGTAAATGAAGTAAATTTTACAGAAAACTCTAAAAAGAGAAATGGATAATTATATAAGATTTGGAGACATTCAAGGTCAGGCTTGATGGAGTTCTTAGCAATCTGATCTAGTTAAAGATGTCCCTACTCACTGCAGGGAGGTTGGACTAGATGACCTTTAAACCTAGATTACCTTCCAACTCAACCCATTCTATGATTCTATGATTTACTTGCCAAAATGGAGGAATGTATAGAATAGGATTTGACAGGCATCTGTCCCAGAGTTTGGTGTTCACTTTTCCCCTCACCAGCTAGCCAATGAGGCAGAGAACAGGCTTACTGTCTTTGAAAACACCAGGCTGGGGTGGGTTTTTATTCATCATTTAATTCAGAGTTACAGATAAAAAATAAAAATAGTGTTAACTAATTGAGGAAATGTTCCTTAAAACAATATGTACTTGAACAAGGGTGAAAGAAAGATATTTGAGACAAGGATGTGAACTGCCTAAGTATGTGTTTGTTCAGAGAGGACGCCGGGTTTTGTTCATTTCACCATCTCAGAGACCTCAGAGAAAAGGCAGATGAGGACATATAAACAAGGATGTCACTTGCAAGAACCAGAAACTGACACTTATGATCAGTTAAATTATTCTCAAGATTTGGTAACATGATGGCACACTTTGAACACATGTAGATTAATTGGAGAAAATCCAGAAGGTACCAAAGCCAACTATTATAAGTCTAGGTAGGACCTATTTACTAGGAAGAATTAATGACAGTTTTTAGCTTAGAAATAGACAAGATATAGGTGCTGATAATTCTTTTCAGGAATATAAAAGACATATCTAAGTAGCAGAATATTATCCTTTTCTCCTGTCCCTTTTGGTTAGAATAGAATAGCAGACTTGTACAAAGGAAGTCTTTGAAACTTCACAGTGTTAAGGAGCATGAAATAAGTACCAGGTAGGTGTCTGTGGAAAGTGACAGCATTTTGATAAGAGATGCTGAAGTGTAATTTATGATATATCAATGTAGTACATCCTTAGATGTGTCATGTTTACAGGTGTAATAAGCTGGCTCATGTTTCTTGTTTGCTGGGGTCTCATATTGCTGAGTGATTGTGGAGGAGACTGCTAGACCACAGGACTTTACTGGAAAGGAAAGTACTTTATCTAGTTGTAAAGATAAAAATAAAAGATAAATCAATTCTTTTTTTGAATACTGAATTTCTGTTAATAATGTGTTTATGCAGGCAAGAAGGTAGAATAGAAGATAAATACTGGCAAAGTAGTCAGAAAAACTGGTTTTACAGC